GAGAGCTGATGCTACTATGCTGCTGCTGCTGCTGCTGCTGCTGATGATGATGATGATGCTACTGCCTGCGGACTAGTGGACCAGCGAACCCTTGCGGCGTTCCCGAGTGTTTACTCAAGGAAATATTTGCATTTAATTAATTTAACATTTCCACCGGGTTTACGTTGGTCGACAATATTTTGCAGCCGGAGAGTTTTTTACGTCGTAAATCTCAAACAAACACGATCGGACGAAGCGCGCGCGTGCGTGTACGTGTGTGCACGCATTAACCTTTACATCGTGTACGTAACGTACGCACGCACGCACGCATGCGCGCACGCACGTGCAAACAAACACGAAGCGACGAACCACGCGCGTGCGTGCACGTCCGTGCACGTGCATTAGCCTTTACAAGTACAACATGTACGTAACGCACGCAGGCTAGATGTTTCTAGCTTCTAGCTCCTAGCTTCTCCAAGTCTTTCCTAGCTTCTCCTAGCCTCAGCTAGCCGTTGCTAGCTCCTCCTAGCCTCTCCTATAGTTTCTCCTAGCTCCTCCTAGCCTCTCCTAGCTTCTCCTAGCTTCTCCTAGCTCCTCCTAGCCTCTCCTAGCTCCTAGCCTCTCCTAGCTCCTCCTAGCCTCTCCTAGCTTCTCCTAGCTCCTCCTAGCTCCTATCCTCTCCTAGCTTCTCCTAGCTTCTCCTAGCCTCTCCTAGCCTCTCCTAACTTCTCCTAGCCTCTCCTAGCCTCTCCTAGCTTCTCCTAGCTTCTCCTATCCTCTCCTAGGTTCTCCTAGCATCTCCTAGCCTCACCTAGTTTCTCCTAGCTTCTCCTAACTTCTCCTAGCCTCTCCTAGCCTCTCCTAGCTTCTCCTAGCTTCTCCTATCCTCTCCTAGGTTCTCCTAACCTCTCCTAGCCTCTCCTAGCTTCTCCTAGCTTCTCCTATCCTCTCCTAGGTTCTCCTAGCATCTCCTAGCCTCACCTAGCTTCTCCTAGCTCCTCCTAGCTTCTCCTAGCTTCTCCTAGCCTCACCTAGTTTCCCCTAGCTTCTCCTAGCCTCACCTAGTTTCCCCTAGCTCCTCCTATCCTCTCCTAGGTTCTCCTAGCCTCTCCTAGCTTCTCCTAGCTCCTCCTAGCTCCTCCTATCCTCTCCTAGCTTCTCCTAGCTTCTCCTAGCCTCACCTAGTTTCCCCTAGCTTCTCCTGTCCCTGCCCCCTGCCTGCCGCACTCTCCCTCGGGGCGCTCGCCTCGCTTGTTTGCCTTGCTAATTCATCGATGTTCCGTCGAATGACATTCGGATGGCCAAAGGCGCCGAGATAAATAAGACATTAATGCCATTACGGGTGTGTAATACGTACGTATGTATGTAATTTTGTATGCGTGCACGTGGAACCGCTGCGGCTGTGGCTGCGCGGGAGCGGAGGGCGAAAGCCGTGTCCTCTCTGTGTGAGTTTCTCTCTCTCTCTC